ATTTACTGACCATTGTAGTGTCTAATGACAGTAGTATCTACTTGCTATACAGGAGTATCTACTGACTATAGTAGTATCTACTGACAGTAGTATCTACTGACAGCAGTGTCTACTTTCTCTATAGTAGTATCTACTTACTCTATAGTAGTATCTACTGATCATAGTAGTATCTACTGATCATATTAGTATCTATGGACTGTATAGTAGTATCAACTGACTGTATTATCTACTGACAGTAGTATCTACTGACAGTAGTATCTACTTACTCTATAGTAGTATCTACTGATCATAGTAGTATCTACTGATCACAGTAGTATCTATGGACTGTATAGTAGTATCAACTGACTGTATTATCTACTGACAGTAGTATCTACTGACAGTAGTATCTACTTACTCTATATTAGTATCTACTGGCTATAGTAGTATCTAATGATCACAGTAGTATCTATGGACTGTATAGTAGTATCAACTGACTGTAGTACCTACTGACAGTAGTATCTACTGACAGTAGTATCTACTTACTCTATAGTAGTATCTACTTACTCTATAGTAGTATCTACTTACTCTATAGTAGTATCTACTTACTCTATAGTATCTACTGGCCATAGTAGTATCTACTGATCACAGTAGTATCTATGGACTGTATAGTAGTATCAACTGACTGTCGCGGTATTTGCTGGCTAGTGGTATCTACTGACTAGTATCTACTGATTCTACAGTAGTATCTGCCGACTATAGTGGGAACGAGTAACTCGAAAGTAGTATCTGCTTACTCTTTAAAAGTAGCTTCTACTGACTGCAGTGATATCTACCGACTCTACAGTAGTAACTACCGACTTTATAGTCGTAACTACTGACTATAGTAGTATATAGTGACTCTACAGTAGTTTCTACTGACTGCAGTAGTGTCTACCGACTCTTTAATATATATCAAGGCCGTAATTATAATATATATTGGGGGGGGGGGTTAAAATATGCTCAAAATGTCCCCCCCCAATATATTGCTATAAAAATATAAAAAAATTAGTAATAATTGCCATGCTATGTAAATAAAAAGAACAATTTGCTAAACCTTGGCCACAATATCTGGACTTGTCTTCATATAAATCAATGCATAGATTTCTGTTTATATGATTGTGGTTATGGTTGTACTTTATTAATCCCTAATCTCAGACATTACATACAATGAAACAAGAAATGATAAAAAAGTAAAAACAGAGCAATGTAATACAATACACTATTTTACATGATTATAAAAAAATAATAAAAAGTCTATCTCATGTGTTAGTGAATTTTTTAATATTTTTTTGCAGGAAATGGCAGTAAATTAGTTTTCAAATTTAGATATTTTTCTGGGTTGGGACCCCCAGACCCCCTGGAAGATTTGGTCCCCCCCAATGTTGACTCCATGGCTACAGCCTTGGTATATATCGACTCTATAGCAGTAGCTACTAACTCTATAGTAGGAAATACTGACTTTAGTAATAACTACTAACTCTATAGTAGTATATACTGGCTCGATAGCACTATCTACTATCACTACAGTAGTATGTACTGGCTGTCGTAGTAGCTACTATCACTACAGTAGTATGTACTGGCTATAGTAGTAGTTACTATCACTACAGTAGTATGTACTGGCTATAGTAGTAGCTACTATCACTACAGTAGTATGTACTGGCTGTAGTAGTAGCTACTATCACTACAGTAGTATGTACTGGCTGTAGTAGTAGCTACTATCACTACAGTAGTATGTATTGGCTGTAGTAGTAGCTACTATCACTCCAGTAGTATGTACTGGCTATAGTAGTAGCTATCACTCCAGTAGTATGTACTGGCTGTAGTAGTAGTTACTATCACTACAGTAGTATGTACTGGCTGTAGTAGTAGCTACTATCACTACAGTGGTATGTACTAGCTGTAGTAGTAGCTACTATCACTACAGTGGTATGTACTAGCTGTAGTAGTAGCTACTATCACTACAGTAGTATGTACTGACTGTAGTAGTACCTACTATCACTACAGTAGTATGTACTGGCTGTCGTAGTAGCTACTATCACTACAGTAGTATGTACTGGCTATAGTAGTAGTTACTATCACTACAGTAGTATGTACTGGCTATAGTAGTAGCTACTATCACTACAGTAGTATGTACTGGCTGTAGTAGTAGCTACTATCACTACAGTAGTATGTACTGGCTGTAGTAGTAGCTACTATCACTACAGTAGTATGTATTGGCTGTAGTAGTAGCTACTATCACTCCAGTAGTATGTACTGGCTATAGTAGTAGCTATCACTCCAGTAGTATGTACTGGCTGTAGTAGTAGTTACTATCACTACAGTAGTATGTACTGGCTGTAGTAGTAGCTACTATCACTACAGTGGTATGTACTAGCTGTAGTAGTAGCTACTATCACTACAGTGGTATGTACTAGCTGTAGTAGTAGCTACTATCACTACAGTAGTATGTACTGACTGTAGTAGTACCTACTATCACTACAGTAGTATGTACTGGCTGTCGTAGTAGCTACTATCACTACAGTAGTATGTACTGGCTGTAGTAGTAGCTACTATCACTACAGTAGTATGTATTGGCTGTAGTAGTAGCTACTATCACTCCAGTAGTATGTACTGGCTATAGTAGTAGCTATCACTCCAGTAGTATGTACTGGCTGTAGTAGTAGTTACTATCACTACAGTAGTATGTACTGACTGTAGTAGTAGCAACTATCACTACAGTAGTATGTATTGGCTGTAGTAGTAGCTACTATCACTCCAGTAGTATGTACTGGCTGTAGTAGTAGTTACTATCACTACAGTAGTATGTACTGGCTGTAGTAGTAGCTACTATCACTACAGTGGTATGTACTAGCTGTAGTAGTAGCTACTATCACTACAGTGGTATGTACTAGCTGTAGTAGTAGCTACTATCACTACAGTAGTATGTACTGACTGTAGTAGTACCTACTATCACTACAGTAGTATGTATTGGCTGTAGTAGTAGCTATACTAACTTTAGCAATACGTACTGGCTGTAGTATTAGCTATATTTAACTCTATAACAGTGTGTACTGGCTGTTGTAGTAACTATACTATCTGTAAATCAGTGTGTACTGGCTGTAATAGTAGCTATACAAACTCTATAGCAATGAGTACTGGCCGTAGTAGTAGCTATACTAACTCTATAGCAGTGTGTACTGGTCACAGTAGTAGCTATACTAACTCTATAGCAGTGTGTACTGGTCACAGTAGTAGCTATACTAACTCTATAGCAGTGTGTACTGGATGTAATAGCTATACTAACTCTATAGCAGTGTGTGCTGGCTGTAGTAGTAGCTATACTAACTCTATAGCAGTGTGTACTGTATGTAATAGCTATACTAACTCTATAGCAGTGTGTGCTGGCTGTAGTAGTAGCTATACTAACTCTATAGCAGTGTGTACTGGCTGTAGTAGTAGCTATACTGACTCTATAATTATAATCTCTAGTTCTTTGGTTGAGTCATGTAGATAGACAAATAGTAATACAAATAAAGTTACTAATAAAGTGAATAAAAAATAAAAATAACCATCGATGTAAGCTGTAGCCTGGTTGTTAAGTTTTGTGAATGTACTGGCAGTCTATAATGCAGACTGAAGAAATGGTTATTAATAACCAAGAATAAGTCTATAGACTGCCATTACACTCGCCCAGCTTACTAACCATTGCTACAGTCTACATTATAGACTGCGCGTAAACTCACTAAACTTAATAAGAAACCTACAGTCTACATTATAGACTGCCAGTTCACTCACCGAGGTTAAGAACCAGGCTATAGTCTACATTATAGACTGCCAGTGCACTCAACCAACTTAATAACCATTGCCATAGTCGCATCTTGATTTGAAGCTTTCGTGACTGCAGGAATGCATACTCTTTGGTTCTTTCGGTGAATTCACGTTGGTAGAAAAAATAATAGATCACAACGTTTCGATCGCAACTCAAGCAACCGTCATCAGGTGTGAAACAAAACACAGCAGAAGGATTGCTGACGTAGGAGAAAGAGCTGCTGCAACAAGAGTTGCAGCAGCTCTTTGGAGGTTCAATCAAAACAATAGCTTATTTGAGTATCCTCTGGAACTTTTTGTAAGAATGTAAACATATTCTTAGCTCTTTCGGTAAAGTCACCACGTTGAAGGGAAACAATAAAATAATCAAATATATATATAAAACAATAAAAAAATTCTCACGACGTTTCGACCATAACACAAACTGTCGTCATCAGGTGTGTCGGTTTGGTCGAAACGTCGTGAGAATTTTTATTGTTTTATATATATTTTATTGTTTCCCTTCAACGTGACTTTACCGAAAGAGCTAAGAATGAATTATTGCAGTCACGAAAGATTTAAATCAGAATGTAAACAGTCAGGAAATTGACACAGCATATATGCTGCTGAAGTTAGATCTGTTCATCCAAGCATTCAAGCAAATCTGAGCCTGGCTTCACACCTCTAAATTGCGATTGAATATTAATTTATGCATTTCTGCATAATACAAATCGTATTATTATCAACAGCCGTTGCTATGTTAGCTGAATTTTGCTTTTATAAATATTGCTATTGTTGCCAGGCAGCCGAAATTGTGTGCTTGATGTTTTGGGTTAATATTTATTTTGAAGATACTAGGGCCTCCGGGCATATTTATAACCATTTGCCCTCTCATTGTGTGCCTTAACAGCCCATAAGATGGATTGGGGAATATCTTGAGTATATGAATAAATATAGACGTGTAAGTCACCTGTGATTGTGTATATGCATTCCTCTGTGCCTCGATATTGACGTAGATGGTGTGGATATTTTTTTCTGTCTGCAGCTGAAACATTCTTCTGACGCTTCATCGGCAGAATTGGTCTGATGGAGCAAAGGCACTCGGCGCAGCCCGGTTCAACAAGACAACAATGGGACCAGGATACAAACAGCATGGATTGTACTGGAAGTGTGACATGGCACCAGAGAACTCAAAGAGGAGATGAACCCTTCAAGTGCACTGTGTGTGAGAAGGCATTTTCAGATTCATCTGTTTTTAAAAAACACCAGAGAACGCACACGGGAGTGAAACCTTTCAAGTGCACTGTCTGTGAGAAGGCATTTGCAGAGTTATCAAATCTTAAAACACACCATAGAACACACACAGGAGAGAAATATTTCAAGTGCACTGTGTGCGAGAAGGCATTTGCACAATTATCAAATCTTCAGAGGCACCACAGAACGCACACAGGAGAGAAACCCTTCAAGTGCAGTGTGTGTGGGAAGGCATTTTCAAATTCATCTGGTCTTAAGAACCACCAGAGAACACACACGGAAGGGAAACATTACAAGTGCAGTTTGTGCGAGACGACATTTTCAAGTTCATTTTGTTTTAAAATGCACCAGAGAACACACAAAGGAGAGAAACCCTTCAGGTGCACTCTGTGCGGGAAGCCCTTTGCATATTCATCACAGCTTAAAAAACACCAGAGAACGCACACAGGAGAGAAACCCTTCAAGTGCACTCTGTGCGGGAAGCCCTTTGTAGATTCATCACTTCTTAAAAAACACCAGAGAACGCACACAGGAGAGAAACCCTTCAAGTGCACTGTCTGTGAGAAGGCATTTGCATGGTCATCAGATCTTCAGATCCACCAGAGAACACACACGGGAGAGAAACCCTTCAAGTGCACTTTCTGTGAGAAGGCATTTGCATGCTCATCAGCTCTTCAGATCCACCAGAGAACACACACAGGAGAGAAACCCTTCAGGTGCACTCCGTGTGGGAAGCCCTTTGTAGATTCATCACATCTTAAAAAACACCAGAGAACACACACAGGAGATAAACCCTTCAGGTGCACTGTCTGTGAGAAGGCATTTGCATGGTCATCAGATCTTCAGATCCACCAGAGAACACACACAGGAGAGAAACCCTTCAGGTGCACTCTGTGTGGGAAGCCCTTTGCAGATTCATCACATCTTAAACGGCACCAGAGAACACACATGGGAGAGAAACCCTTCAAGTGCACTCTGTGTGGAAAGGCGTTCACACGGTCATCATATCTTGAAATACACCAGAGAACACACACAGGAGAGAATCCCTTCAAGTGCAGTGTGTGTGGGAAGGCATTTTCAGATTCATCAAATCTTAAAATACACCAGGGAACACACAGGCATCAGAAAATCCCCAAGGAGTGTAGTCTGAAAGCGGCTTGTGAAAGTCAAAGTGCTGCAATAAGCCCATCCCTCCTGAAAATAGAACCAGAAGAGAATCCCAGCTTGGACACTATGAAATGTTTCAAGGTGAAATGTGAAGAGGTGACAGTGAAGAGCGAAGAAGTGAAGGTGAAATGTGAAGATGAAGATTCAACTCCAAAATGGGACCTTAACATCGATGGAGGCAACGTGAAGCAGGAGGAGAATTCTGACTGTGAGGCAGAGCGAGGCAACTCCCAGCAGTTTGTGAAAGTGGAGGTGTGGGTGGACTTCTTAGACAATACAAAGTCAAAAATGCCTATCGATAATTTAATGAATACTTATTCTTGGTTCTTTCGGTAAAGTCACGTAGAAGGGAAACAATAAAATAATAAAAAATATATAAAACTAAAAATTCTCACGACGTTTCGACCATAACACAAACACCTGATGACGACCGTTTGTGTTATGGTCGAAACGTCGTGAGAATTTTAAATTTTTATATATTTTATTGTTTCCCTTCAACGTGACTTTACTGAAAGAGCTAAGATTATAATGAATACTTGTCTGATTTTGTGCGTACATGTAACATTTTGTCTATAAGGTCAAATATGGAACACGTGATTGTAGGAGAAAGTGTGTGTTTTGGAAGTAACCTATACAGATGTAGTGGAGTAGGAAGGTATGCTGGGGAAACTGCGCGATTGTATTGATGACACGGACAGTGTGGGGTTATTTGGGGGTTAGCCTATGGAAGGCGTAAACAGCGTGGGTCGCCTTAGGACAGGCACGTGCAGAAGCTGAAAGGTGACGTCATCGGTTGGGCCAGTTAAGGTAGACGAGAAGCAACGGCAGTGATTGGCTGGGACTTGTTGGGGAGTCAGCTGAAGAGAATTGGGAGTGGGAGCTGAGGAGAGTTGGGGTCCGGAGTTGGAAGCCAGGACAGTGTGTAGAGTTAGCGGAGCTGAAGAAGACGGAACAGTTAGCAGTGGAGTGAGCGTAGAGTTAGCGGAGCTGAAGAAGATGAAGCAGTTAGCAGTGGAGTGAGCGTAGAGTTAGCGGAGCTGAAGAAGACGGAACAGTTAGCAGTGGAGTGAGCGTAGAGTTAGCGGAGCTCAAGAAGACGGAACAGTTAGCAGTGGAGTGAGCGTAGAGTTAGCGGAGCTCAAGAAGACGGAACAGTTAGCAGTGGAGTGAGCGTAGAGTTAGCGGAGCTGAAGAAGAAGCAGTTAGCAGTGGAGAGAGCGTAGCGTTAGCGGAGCTGAAGAAGACGGAACAGTTAGCAGTGGACTGAGCGTAGAGTTAGCGGAGCTGAAGAAGGCGGAGCAGTTAGCAGTGGAGAGAGCGTAGAGTTAGCGGAGCTGAAGAAGGCGGAACAGTTAGCAGTGGAGAGAGCGTGGAGTTAACGGAGCTGAAGAAGACGGAACAGTTAGCAGTGGAGTGAGCGTAGTAATAGAGGAGCTGAAGAAGGCGGAGCAGTTAGCAGTGGAGTGAGCGTAGAGTTAGCGGAGCTGAAGAAGGCGGAACAGTTAGCAGTGGAGTGAGCGTAGAGTTAGCGGAGCTGAAGAAGGCGGAACAGTTAGCAGTGGAGTGAGCGTAGAGTTAGCGGAGCTGAAGAAGGCGGAGCAGTTAGCAGTGGAGTGAGCGTAGAGTTAGCGGAGCTGAAGAAGAAGCAGCAGTTAGCAGTGGAGTGAGCGTAGAGTTAGCGGAGCTGAAGAAGGCGGAACAGTTAGCAGTGGAGTGAGCGTAGAGTTAGCGGAGCTGAAGAAGACGGAGCAGTTAGCAGTGGAGTGAGTGTAGAGTTAGCGGAGCTGAAGAAGGCGGAACAGTTAGCAGTGGAGTGAGCGTAGAGTTAGCGGAGCTGAAGAAGGCGGAACAGTTAGCAGTGGAGAGAGCGTAGAGTTAGCGGAGCTGAAGAAGACTTAGCAGTGGAGTGAGCGTAGAGTTAGCGGAGCTGAAGAAGACGGAGCAGTTAGCAGTGGAGTGAGTGTGGAGTTAGCGGAGCTGAAGAAGGCGGAACAGTTAGCAGTGGAGTGAGCGTAGAGTTAGCGGAGCTGAAGAAGACGGAACAGTTAGCAGTGGAGTGAGCGTAGAGTTAGCGGAGCTGAAGAAGACGGAACAGTTAGCAGTGGAGTGAGCGTAGCGTTAGCGGAGCTGAAGAAGACGGAACAGTTAGCAGTGGAGTGAGTGTAGAGTTAGCGGAGCTGAAGAAGCTGAAGCAGTTAGCAGTGGAGTGAGCGTAGAGTTAGCGGAGCTGAAGAATACGGAACAGTTAGCAGTGGAGTGAGCGTAGAGTTAGCGGAGCTGAAGAAGTCGGAGCAGTTAGCAGTGGAGTGAGCGTAGAGTTAGCGGAGCTGAAGAAGACGGAACAGTTAGCAGTGGAGTGAGCGTAGAGTTAGCGGAGCTGAAGAAGACGGAACAGTTAGCAGTGGAGTGAGCGTAGAGTTAGCGGAGCTGAAGAAGACGGAACAGTTAGCAGTGGAGAGAGCGTAGCGTTAGCGAAGCTGAAGAAGACGGAACAGTTAGCAGTGGAGTGAGCGTAGAGTTAGCGGAGCTGAAGAAGACTTAGCAGTGGAGTGAGCGTAGAGTTAGCGGAGCTGAAGAAGACGGAACAGTTAGCAGTGGAGTGAGCGTGGAGTTAGCGGAGCCGAAGAAGGCGGAGCAGTTAGCAGTGGAGAGAGCGTAGAGTTAGCGGAGCTGAAGACGTCTTAGCAGTGGAGAGAGCGTAGTAATAGAGGAGCTGGAGACGAGGTGTGTGGAGACAGAGAAGTGAGATTGGCTTTCGCTGCGTGCGACGACGCTGTATTAGCGGAGGAGCTGAGGAGGATAGCCAGCAGTGGAGAGAGCGTAGGAATAGAGGAGTTGAAGACGTGTGTGTGTGTGCGGAGCAGAGCGACGTGATACTGGGAACCAAAGGTGGTGAGCGAGACGGGCGAAGCACGGCGAGGCGAGCCGCTGTGTCCGGGATACGGTGGAGTGTGGAGAACGTGTTTTTTATTTATTTTTAATTTTTTTTAATTTTTTTAAATTATATCTTAAAGCTATTTTATATTCGATATTTATTTAATTTTATATACTTCAGCCCCTTGGTGTTAGACTTTTAACCCTCATTATAGTAAGACTTGTTTAAAACTTATTTAAGATTTTAGATTCCTATATGTTGAATGTATGCACCATCCTGCCAAAGTAAATTCCGTGTCGGTGTGAACTTACATGGCGAATAAAACCCTTTCTGATTCTGAAAATAACTCACGTGAGAGCTGTTCTTTTGATACGGGTCAACTGGTAATTTTTCGTGATTGAGGAAGCATCTGCCTCTGGAAAAAGTCATTGTCTTTTGAAATAAGGAACATTCGCATAATTAATCAGTTACAAGGCATGCGACTTAAAAGTTACGTAAGGGAGATACATTCTCCACAACGCGTATTCTAATTTTATCATACGTGTGTGGCAGTCAGAGTGATAGCTTTGGGGGGGCAGGGTGTTTCTTTGATTGGGGAGAAGCGAGGGACTCGTGGGTTGGGGTGGAGTGGCTTTGTGTGAAGGCGGTTGCAGGTGCGTTGGATTGGATTGGCTCGTGCGCACGGGGGTTTAGACTCGTGGGCACGCAGCGCCAATCAAATGGGGGGAATGAGCCCAAGGGTGTGATTCAATTAAAGGCCCCGCCATGGGGAACCCAGAGGAAGGGGCGGGGAATTTCATTACGCGACTGATCCTGCTTCAAGGTGGCTTGCTGATCCGGCTCGAGGTGGCTGGGGACTGATCCGCTGAGGGTGGTCTTCTTTGGTTCTTTCGGTAAAGTCACCACGTAGAATGAGAATAAAATAATAAATTGATAAAATAAAATAACACAATAATATTCTCACGACGTTTCGGCCACAACACAAGCGGCCTTCATCAGATGAAGGGACGAGACTGTCTGGTAGGACAGCGCTGGAGTGGAGAGCACTCCAGCGCTGTCCTACGAGACTGTCTGGTAGGACAGTGCTGGAGTGGAGAGCACTCCAGCGCTGTCCTACCAGACAGTCTCGTCCCTTCATCTGATGAAGGCCGCTTGTGTTGTGGCCGAAACGTCGTGAGAATATTGTGTTATTTTATCAATTTATTATTTTATTCTCATTCTACGTGACTTTACCGAAAGAACCAAAGAAGATGAATCATTGCAGTCACGAAAGCTTTAAGTCGCTGAGGGTGGTGTTTGGAGCGGTTTTTGTTTGGTCTGCTCCAGAGCCGGGCGGTGCGTCGTGCGTGCCTTCGCTCAGCGGTTTGCTCCCACCGGCGTTTGTGTGGGTGGAGTAAGTCGGTGAGGCCGCGGTTGTTGGAGTATTGCGTGACTGTGTTGGTTGTTGTGTTGTTGCGAGGGTCATTTGGGTTGGTATAGTGGCTTGTGATGCGTGCACTCCTCCACAGAGAAGTAGTAGCCCTGTTGCCCTTTAACAATGTAGTAAGATTTGTGCAGAGATTAAATTATAAGTAAACACTATACATCCTGGAATATACCGGCAGTGGTCTTGGTTGTGTTTCCCGCATTGTAATATGGGGTGTCGCGTGAAATAGAGGCCCCGCCGTAATTTAAGCGACAATGATGCTAGCGAGGGTTTCGGATGTAGACCGAAACCTGCTAAAGCATGTCCCAAAAGGATGCACCATTGCAACGTATTTTGTAGATTTTGTCGAACTAGGACTAGAAATGCTCCTTGCTGATTTCACATCTGGATGTTCGTCACCATCGGTTGAAGCAAGCCCGACTGCTGTTGAGACATTGTACATCAATACTGGTCCGCAGGTGGCTTGCACTGAATCAATGATGTACTCCTAGAAGGCTGCTATTTATACTCTTTGGTTCTATTGGGTAAAGTCACGTAGGTGAAAACAAAATAACAAAAAAATCACGACAGCGCTGTCCTCCAGACAGGCTCGTCCCTTCACCTGATGAAGGCCGCTAGTGTTGTGGCCGAAACGTCGTGATTTTTTGTTATTTTGTTTTCACCTACGTGACTTTACCCAATAGAACCAAAGAGTATGGATCCTAGCAATCACGAAAGCTTTAAATCTAGAACTGCTATTTATAGTTTGTGTAAAACATTTCTCTGTGTCCATGGAGAGACCAATAAATGAAATCCACGTGTCTGCTGATCTGATTCATAGCAAGGAGGTAATTTTAAGAGCACATTTGAAATGTATCATGGATTTTTGTGTTGGTTGTTGTGTTCTTGCGAGGGTCATTTGGGTTGGTATAGTGGCTTGTGATGCGTGCACTCCTCCACAATGTTGTAAGATTTGTGTAGAGATTAAATTATAAGTAAACACTATACATCCTGGAATATACCGGCAGTGGTCTTGGTTGTGTTTCCCGCATTGTAATATGGGGTGTCGCGTGAAATAGAGGCCCCGCCGTAATTTAAGCGACAATGATGCTAGCGAGGGTTTCGG